CAATGAAGAAAAGGGTTCATCTTTCCCACATTACCACTGACTTGTGACTTAAAGCATGCTCTGGTTCAGTTTGGCAGCTGAGCTGATTTCTGCAATGTTGCAGAACTGGGTTAAATGCACTTTCCCAGAGTTTGATGAGTCACTGGTTCAGCTTGGTCTAGGACCCAGATCTTCCTGCTTTCCGGTCCACTTCCCTGCCCAACAGACAAACACTGTCTGCATTGCTGCAATTGTTGCTCAGCCTCCACACCAAAAATGCTCTTATCATAGTACAAACAACTAACATACTGAGATTATAAACAACCAAATATCGAGCTCTCAACTGACTTAAGGGATGTCATTTGGCTTCTCTTTCACATCCCTTTTCATGACACCCTTGTTATTTTGCAAACAGATCTACAAAATTCAGAAATGCTCATGTCTTGGCAGTAAAAAGTAGAAAATAGACAAGAAAAAAGTAAGTAATGCATTTATAGCTCACTGAATGCAGTGATATGATCTTGACTCATGATATGAGCTTCACTCTTAGAAGAGGTGGAACAAATCCCAGAGTGCTCATCAAGCTCAAAGGTTTTAGAAACTGGTAACTGATGCTTTATTCAGAACATGTTTCTGTATGGGCTGTACACACCACCTAACCCAGGAAGAATAGCCTTTAATTTGAAATCCAGAGGCAACCAGAAGACTGGATGCATCTATGCAGCTTTGCTATAAGCAGCTTTCTGTGAAACTCCTCATAGGTGATGCCAGCTCAACATAATGATATTGAGAAAGAATGCCCAAAGACTAAGGATGGATCTTAGAAAAACTTTATCAGCAATGGTGTGGAAATAACCTGGGGCTGCAATGTTCATGTTCAATAAAACAACAACCATGAATCCAAGCTCTGTCTTTGCTTGCCTCCTTGGAACCTCACAGATTGTATCTCATGCCTCTGTTCAGAACAGATCTTCAGATTAAAGATCAGTAATGAGACTGTTGGTCTCTTGAGTAGGTACCATCTTATTATGGCACTGGTCTGGCTTCTCTAAGATCTGAAACACCAAAACCCAGTGGCTTTCCTCTGACATAGGATGCAAGACTCTGCTAAACTCCAAAGCAAGTAGAGGAAAACAGTTCTCCCCATGGAGATTAAGGAATCAAACCTCTAGTGAATCATTACCATACATATGGCTCAACCACTATAAAGACTGTTCTCCAGGGACCCTTTGCTCTACCACAAAAACCACAGCTTCACTTTCAGGCATCAGAAGGTAAAGAAAAATCACATATTTGTCTTGTCTTTCTTTTCTGTGATCATGGAGAAGTCAGTATCTACACTATATTTTGTAAGCAGAATAGATCTCAAACACATTAAGCTTCTAGAAGGACTCTACTACATATTCCCTCCTGGAAGAATCAATCTTTCACCATGTACTTTTATAAACTCAATGCTTCACCTGCTGAAAGCCTGGCAAAACAGTTTCATTGCTACCTCTTCACTAGATCCTTCGTTCTGTGTTCTGTTTTTCCAACGTCTAAGAAATTATTCCAGGCAGGTCTTCTTCATGAAAAGGCAACAGTACTGACACATGCTGGATCAGTACTGAGGTCCTGAGTCTGGTCACACTCTGTCAGCAACATCTATTGTTCACAGAGATGAATCTCACCAAGCATGCATTTGAGGGGCTAAATTCTGTTTGGTGCCTGCAAGCTGCATAACTAGAACTTCATTTCTCCATCTAACAAGCTGAGCAATAATCCACAAAAAATTCCCATTCTCTGTTTACACTACTTAAGTTGTAGTCTTCCCTTTTGTATCTTGAAAGGTAAGAAGAGGGTTTCTCTAGTCACCAGACACTGGGATCTGTTTTACTGAATTGGAAAGCTGGTAAAACAAGTCTTGGGGGCAGTTACTACAAACCCTCCAAACCTTATCCATTTTATTTCCTTAGTGTGTACTTACACATACACAAGTGTAATTAATTTTCCATCTGTGAAATATAATAACTTTTCTTCTGGTTTCTTGTCTTTTCTGTTTTTCCTGATGAATTGGTTTCCACTCAGCCAAAAGCTTCTCAGTAGCAGGAGATCCCAGATAAGTTGCTAACTTGGTTTCAGTTTTATTGATGCTACTCAAGTACAATCTTTTAGCACAGTTGGACCATTTCTCTACAGTTCTCAGGGTGCTACACCATTCACACAGTGTCCATTAATGAACATTTATTCTGCCACTCTGATAATTCAAGCATAATATTTCAGTTTCCCTGGACCTTTGTGACTGCTGCCCATTACCTTCCTTAATCATTGACACACTCTTTCCTTCTCTCTGTACAACACTTAGGTCACCAGATCATTTGGTCAACTCCCTAAAGTAGGTTACAGTCACACTAACATTAAGCCTTATTTTGTGGCATTAGTGATTCCTGCTGCCACTGCTACACAGAACACTGGCTTTAGTACCTTAGGGGAGTGCTTGCTCCTGTTGGTGCTCCTGTGCTTGCTTATTATACACAAGCCAGATTTTGAGTCTAGGTCACCACTGATGCTGCAAGGCAAGGGACTGAAAATATGGGCATGACAAAAAGAATCTTTGAAGATCTTAACATGGTAATAATGAAGACCCTTTATGGATTTCTCTTCTCCTATTTACTGAGAAAGATGAAGGGTATCTATAGTAACACATTTCTCATAAGTTCTTGTGACATTTCAATGCCTTGCTTTTTCTTATTCATCCCCAAAAAATCTCCCACTGCAAATACCCAGTTAGCCTCAACTCTGTTGTCCCACTAAATCCAACTGTATCCCTTAATCATGGAAATCCAGCCTCTTCTTGCTTAATGAAGAACTTCCTTACCATCATAAAATGTGATGTTCTTGCCTGTGAATTCCTGCAACAAGGTGAATTAGGATCCCAAGCAAGTAAGTTTTTTCTGGTTCTGCTGTTTTTATTATATTTAGGTAAGTAAGAAAACATGATTTCTTGTGTTTTCCTCATTGAGCCACATCAATAATATAAAAATCATGTAAAAAGCTACTCTTAAAACCTCACAATAACAAACCCCTCATCCTCCATACAAATATACTTCTTTAACTCTTACAGTCCCAAAGCCCAGTCTGTTTTTCTTTGTAAAAAAACACAACAAATTTGACTATTATCCCCCCATGGTAACAGTCTAACTCTCCAGGGATCTCTTTCTAGCAACAAGGGACCTACATGAAACATGACTGAAGACAAGAGTTTATGCCAGATGCTTAAAGAGCAATAGGAAACATTACACAAACAATTATCTGTTTTTGTACTTTGACCAAACATACAAGTTATTAGCCACCTCTGTTCCATATCTCGTCCTTTTTAAACTATTCTATTCTTTCAGGAAGAGAGCAGTACAATGCTGATGTACTTTGCAGTGTCTATTTTGCTGGCAACAGCTGGCATAGCTGGCAAAAGTGAGGTTAACTTCTCACTTCCTCCGCTCCCCACCACCCCCCATCCTAGGAACACAGGAGGGAAAACGGAATTGTTCTTCTGAATTGCACATCCGTCAGCCTCCTCCTGGGAAGAGACAGCTATTTCTTATCTTGGCTGTTTTACATCACTGAAATGTGAAGGGAGAATCTGAAGGAAGGAAGTCATAGAAAAGAGAGACCTCTAGGTTTCAGGGAACTACCAGAAAAAGGGTGGGATGGTTGGTGGTGGTGGTGGAGATGAGAATGCTGTAGATAATGAAGAGCTACAGAATCTCCAACAATAAAAAACTTTTTAAAGAAAATACTTTTGATCTGCTATCCTTTACCCTATTGAAAAGACATTTAAAGAAATACCTTTACATTATTTCAGTCTGCAAACTTCTTATCCTCTGAGATTCTAAAGGAAAGATGTCTTTCTCTGATGTTATCCATGCCTCAAAAATAGACAGAAAAACATCCTTTTTGCACTATTCTGGGACACACTGCCCTTGAAAGTAGGGATTTACAGCTAAATCTAGTATAAATAGTGTCATTTGGTAATACTTCAAGAAATGGCAGCAGGGTTAATTTAGTCTTCCCTTGGGACCATAAATGAACACATGGATTCACTGAAAAGACACAAAGCAATGCTAATAATCTAATTTAGAGGAAGATCTGTTTATAGGACAGACTTGAAATGCATTGGGGCAAATTTCAAAAGATCAAGAGTTAAAGATAAGCATCCAAAATGCAGAGTACTTATCTGAAACTTATTGGGACTATCTGATGCTCTGTGAAATGGTACCAGAAATCCTGTACTGGCAGGACATCTGCAGCAATTTCACAACTTGCTTTCAGGCTAGAAACTTGATCTGTTTGGTGGTAATTCCTCACCTCTGGATCTTGTGTAAAGCTGAGAGCATAGCATAAGAACTCAAAGCCCAGTAACTTTAGAATCTCCTATCTTGGAAATGCTAACCAGGCATGTCAGAACTCAAAACTGCTCATGCAACAACAGGAGCTTGGACAAAATCAGTCACTTTCTCCAAAGAAAGCAGATGATCTGAAAAGCAACTCTTTCTCAAGGACTTCTACAGACAACAAGTCTTCTCCACAGCCTAGAAAAGAAACATCATCTCTTGGCATCTGCCTGGGAGGGAAGGGAATAATGGACCAGGCTTTATCAGGTTTAATTGAACATTTATTTTCTAGCATTTTGGGCCTGTGTGTAAAAACCCATTAATTTAAAGAGTGTAGAAAATGGTATGCCAAAACATATTTGCAAAGCATTGAGTAGGTAGGTTTTTAATAGCTCATTACAATTCTTCTAGTAATTGGTAGGCTGAAAGTTCAATATAGTGCCTATAAGGATAGGTATCCTGGGGTAAATAATGGCCCCAATAAATTGCTCTTGTCCCAGGAAGTGGAAAAAATGTGTTTAGGTAGGGAAAAATATTCCTAAGAGATTATTTCTTCTTTTATTTTTTTCCCTTATGAAAGAAAAAAACCACTTAATTCGGTCAGTCCGTTCTGCGTGGCTGGGGCTCTGCAGTGGCTGTGCATCCCCGCACCGCTGCACTTTCTGTAAAGCGCCAGGAGCGCGGCGGAGCTGCTGCCACCCGGGCAAGGGAGTGGGCAGGAAGGGGCGGCGGGAGCGGCGGGCACCGCTCCCGGGACAGCGGCAGCAGCAGCAGCAATAACAGCAGCGATGCTGGCAAGGGCCGCGGTGCAGCCCGGCCCGGCACGGTGCAGCCTCGCACGGTGCAGCCCGGCCCGGCACGGTGCGGCCCGGCACGGTGCAGCCCCGCGCGGTGCAGCCCGCACGGTGCAGCCCGGCCCGGCACGGTGCAGCCCGGCCCGGCACGGTGCAGCCCGGCATGGTGCAGCCCGACCCGGCACGGTGCAGCCCCGCACGGTGCAGCCCGGCCCCGCACGGTGCGGCCCGGCACGGTGCAGCCCGCACGGCACAGTGCAGCCCCGCACGGTGCAGCCCGGCCCCGCACGGTGCGGCCCCGCACGGCCGGACACACGCGGGGAGCTGGGGCGGAGCAGCTCCGGCCGCTCGCCCTGCGAGGCTTGGGCTCCCCGCGCTCCTTCCTCGGGGCTGGGGACGGCAAGAAGCCACCGCAGCCCCCATGCCCGGCTCCTGGAGGTCGATATGACGCTGCGAGCGCGCTCTGCGATGGCAGCTTTGCCTCCTGCTGTGGAATGCTTAGGTTTTCCAAAATGACGTCTGATTAATTGGGAGGTGGAAAGAACAGGGAAGTGTAAAGATTTATTTATTTTGTTTGATTCATTGTTCCTGAGGAGGGAAGTACTGCTCAATAAGAGAGCGTAATTTAGATTGCCAGATTTCTGGGTGGAGGCTCAAACTGGTGCAGTTTGTTTGGTTCTGCAGGATGGGTTGTTTTTCTTTCGTAAGCAAAGCTAAAATTGATTCTGACCTATACTGCTTCTTGCCAGAGAGGTTTCCCTCACGTTGAATTCCCTGTTGGGGTAGACATCTGTCTTCCTGAATGATCTCAGCTCAAAGATAATACAGACCTCTAAAGAGTCAATGCACACAAGTAGGTATCAAATCTAGAAGCACAGCTGTCCTGTACACAGTGGATGTGTTGAGTGTCATTTATCACCTGGACAGCTCAGCCAGGAAAGGCTGGTATTGCAATCACCCTGTCAAATCACTGCTGCCAGTGGAGTGCCTCTATACAAGAAATACAAACCAGGAACAGCACAGGCTTTACCCTTCTAGCTTTATGTATAAGAGCCTTTTGTCAGCAAAATGTGTGTATGTGATCCACTGATGGCTGGACTGCAGACCTGGCTGAAGTAAGGATGTTACTTGGACAGCTTTCAAAAAACTGGGCAAAGACTGCTTGACTTGCCACAGGAGTTGAAGAGATCCTGAGCCAACTTTTACTGACACCCACCAACCTAATGCACCTCACCCCATGTCTGCAGCCTGGACCCAGCCTTCATAAAAGCATCCTCCTTGCCCACATTTCTACAGCAGCTCCCAAAGCATTGATTAGCACTAATTTGCAGTGTTGAAACTGTGTTAGTATGTCAGTCACATTGTTTCACTCTAAAGAAGCTCTGTTTCCATAGCACAGCACCTGTAGCATGTGTTTTGTGGCATGATTCAGTCCCAAAGCTCAGGACAAACACAAATATCCTTTGTATCTGCCTGCTGCAGGGCAGATGTCCATCCCATCTAAATATTCCTTGCTGCAAACCAAGGAAATGATCAAGATCAGTACTACCAAACACTTCTATTTTTGCTGGTTTTTAATAGCTCATTACTAGTAATTTGTAGGCTGTAAGTTCAATATAGTGCCTGTAAGTGCATTTATATGCTTTCTGCTTTCATATTTTTTCTAATACTTGGACTCAAAAATAGCAAAAATTAATCGTTTGTGGTATGACATAGCAACAACAATATCAAAACATATCTAAGCAAAGCTGGGAAAGTTTACTTAACCTGGTGTTAATTTCTGATTTTTTTTTTGTATACAAACAAAAATGTAAACTTGGGTTTTTCCCAGCTTTGACTATGGTTTAGATCTATACAGTCAGAAAAAATTATATGACTGCAACACGCTTTCTATGTAAATATGAAGTGTAAAAATCTTCAATATCAAAATGATAGATCACTTGAGTTATTAATCTTTCTTAGTAGGAAAAATTTGTTTTTCAGATACTTTTCCATTAAATTTCTTAAATATCTTTGAAATGTGGCTCCCTTTCTTTTAGATTAGAAGTTGCCCACACCTTCAGGAAAATAGTAGTGGTGGAAAGGTCAAGCAACTTTCTTATCCATGCCTCCATACAGACTCAAGGCGCCTGTGCTGAGACTTCTCTGCCTCAGGGAGCTTGCCCAGCTCTGCTTTGCTGGGGAGATCTGATAAGGCTGCAGGTTGGACTGACAGGGCTGCAGGCAATGAAGACCAGCAAGGCTGTTCCAGCTGTTTCCCAAGCACGGCTGGAGCCTGCCAATGTAACTGCTGCAGCATAGCCTTGTGCATCAGATCAGCAGCCAAAAGTGGAGAAGCATCAGTGGAATATCAAAAGCAGTTTTGGTATCACTTTGCTATCTGATCTCATTGAGGTTACAGACTTTCTGTGAAGGGCTTGTGTCTTGTTTCATTAAAATGCTTTTCTGCACTGAATTTTTTTCTCCTGGCATTAAATGTCTTTCTCTGGGACATGGCAATACCTACTGCATGAGGAAAACAAGAGGTCCCACAAGCATGTGGAGAAAGTTCTTGGCTAGCAATGCAGAAAAGAAAAACATTCTTCACTTACTCACTCATTTGCAAAAGAGAGAATATGCCTGAGAACTCCCAAGCCTCTGTTATCTTTGTGAGTGATCCTTGGTGAATAGCCGGCAGCAAAATGAACTTTGCAGAGTGGCTGAATATCAAATAATTGTGGGTTGCCTGGACTAGAGAACAGCACCATTACCACTTATCTTGTTATGACAAAATGAGTTAGCATATTTATCATTCTTTACTTGATAAATGTAAACACTAGGGTTATGGAGGGACATAACATCATTTTCTTCCATTTCTCAAAAATAGCAAAGCTAAAAGTCTTCTCTGTAAGTGCAGTATATTCAAAAATTAGAAAAAAAAAAAAGACTGGAGAAAGGTTTCTGGGACTTGGTTTTCTAATTTAATAATGGGAAGAATGGTTCCTTCCATTCTTCCTGTTTTTTTGCCTCTCTAACTTGGCGGGTAGATAGAAAGCAATTTAAGAAACAGGGAGTTGAGTTACATCCAAGTAAAAAAAAAAAAAAAAAAAGAGGAGCTATTGAACTGAAGGAAACAACTTCAGTGTTGAATTAATATTACATAGGGGTGTTCCCTGACTTACTTGATGATGGCAACAGCTCTTGCCTTTACAGATGGGTGTATCTATTCCTTGAATTTACAGACAAGCTTGAATTGATGAATTCAAAGCTGTGCAATCACTTCTTTCATCTTCCTGTTACACACACTTACTCCGTAATGCCCTAGCTCCAGCCTCCTTAGTCAGAGCTGCAGGTATCCTACAGGCTTCTCTGCAGTGCACCCATGCTAGCAGGCAGCAACAGAAAGGGGTGCTTCTGATTTTCCTTCGTGCACAGGGAGACTCAGGTCAACTGAGCTGGAAGCTGCTGTCTCTGGCTGGTCCCCATGCTCCACTTTCAAGCAGTGTGCCCACAGGGCTGTTTTATAAAATATGGTCTGAGAATCGCATGAGAAACTGAAGTAAAAAAGAAAATGGACTGAAAACAACAGTTACAAACACTTGGCTCCTTAATGCAGCCCAAGGCAGGAAGTAGAGGCCAGAGGAGCCTGTCCATAGACTGAGCTTTGGTATTACACATCTGGAGCTCTGTCACTTGTGTCAGCCCATGAAGGGAAAAGATTCATTGGTTTTACTCCTGACACCTGTGTGTGGAAAGACCACAACAATAAAGCAGGTCATTTAGAGTATTCAATTGCTATAAGCAGCATAAAAATGAGGTAATTGTAACAGCAAGACTAAGTTGGAGAAAAAGATGTGTTGACTTGCAGGAAAAAGAATTAGTAAACCTAAAATATGTGCTAAAAGGAGCACATAAAAAAAAAATCCTTTGACAGCTACTCTGAATCTTCTGACTGCACTAAAAATAGTCACATAAACTAACTTCTGTGCTGCTGCCTTTTCTTAAGCAGAAGTATGCAAACTAGCTTTAAACTTATCTCTTATCTCTATACTTGTTGTAATTGGAATTTTCCAGAGGAATTTGTCTAGCAGTTGTTTTTAACTAATGTTCACTAAAAGCGTGATGAAGCCCCATCAGGGAAAATAAATAACAGTGCTGTGACACTAGGAACCCAGTTGTCATCATAAGGGATGAGAAAAAAGATAACTATCTGCCCTGGCCAGTATGGTTTTGGTGGTCTCAGTAAAATCTAAGATTGAGGATAATAAGCTGGACCAAATTATGTGAACATGAGTGTTCTGTCATATTCCTTCAAATTATAAAAAGCCTTGATAAGTTATTCAGCTGTCTACAGTATCAGATTTTAGAAGCACTTGCTGTGTATCTGGAAAATACAATATCTGGGAAAAGGAATTGCCTCTCATCCAACTAAGAGTGAAAGGCTGGAGTCCTTAGGCCTTTAAGATGAAAAGCTTTCATCCTACAGAGGAGGACACAGTTTAATGGTGAACATGGTGATAGTGCTAGGCTGGCAGTAGGACTTGATGATCTTAAAAGGTTTTTTTCAATCTTAACAATTCTAAGATTTTTATTAGTTAAACTACTAAAGGTAGTCACAGAGAACACAGTCAGTCAGGGAGAAAGATGAAATTGGGTTCTCAGCACATTTCATGCTACATGTGCAGCTGGTTTCTTCCAGGCTGAGAAAGGAAAATGCCTGAAGAAAGGGGGAGGAAATTCTACAGGAAATTTGGTAAAGATTTCCTTTTCTTGTTTTTCTCATGGAAGAAAGCGACCTGAACTCATAAGGATAAAAAATAAATGCTCCAAGAAGCCTCATATAATTCAACTTCTTGTCAAAAAAGCGTGCTCTTCTGCATGCAACACTCTTACAAGTTCTAATGGAACAACTTAATATAATTAGTTCCATCCAATCTGCACAATTCTATCACTGATGTACTGCTTTTGCAATACCAGAAGCAAAATTGAGCATGACTGAACTCTTTTCCTGCAATGTCATGTTGCTATACAAATAGCAACTGGCTTCAGGCTACAACATTCACGCTGCCCTTTGAGTCCAGGTTAGTCTGTGCAGGGTGGCTGCACTCTTGGGCCTCTTTGGAGAGGCAATGAAAGGACACTGTGGGTGGTAGAGAAAATAGAAAGTAGGAGCAAGAAGTGGAAATCTATTATATGCCCACAAAGCTAAAAGGGAAAGAATAAACAAAGCACTATTATTCCTTCTGTTGCTGCTTTTTTATAATTCATTTTCTCACTGAGTTTTTTTTTTTCACTAGATTTCTTTCATCTTCCTGTCTCCTGATCTTTCTTTACCAAAAACCCACTGCGTTGAGATGCACTCAAGCTTAAAAATTATTAAAGAACCACACTGTATTTATCCTCTCAAGTGTTCCTTTGTGCAGAGGCATTTTCCTGCTGACCGGGGTGCTGAGCCAGGTAGCAAACACACAGTGCACCTCACTCCAGCAAGCATGCTCTCTCCTACACTTGACCCGGGACCCCTGTGGAGTGCAGAGCAG